TGCTGACAGTGCTATAAAGGTCTGCCATGGATCGGCCCTTTCCACAAGTTCCCTTCCAAGGATGTGTACAAGAAGTTCGCTGAATGGGTACGGTCACTATCGAGGCTTCTGACGATGTAACTAATACCAATACAGCACGAAGAATACGGTCCGATCTACCAGTTCACTCTCTTCGGTGTCAAACACATTCGTGTCAACAGCGAGAAGGTGTGCCAGGATCTTCTCGCAAGGCGTGGAGCATACTATTCCAATCGCGCGCCCACACCCAACATCCCAGGCGCCAAAACCGATGCAGAGTATCTTCCTCTTTTAGACAACAATGGTATGTATTCATCGAATCATCTCCGAATGTCGCTGACTGTTTCTGCAGCGGCACTTACAAGACACCGTAAATTCGCTCACCAATGCCTGTCCGAAACCTACAATTACGACATGTTCGGCTTCACGCACCTCGAGATCACGCGGATGATGGTTTCGCTGATGAAAGACAACCGCAACTATCCCGATCTCGCCGAAGAGTTCACCCACCGTGTGAGCGCGCGCCTCGCCTGGGAAGACCCAAAGCTGAGTCGTGGGTTGAACCGAAGCTCGGCTGGTCTTCTCGCTGCCATCTCTCCAGCAGGGAAGCTACCGAACAGGTTTCCAGTCGTTCAGAAGTTACCCAACTTGATCAATCCTTGGTATTGGCAGGAGAAGGCGCGCCATGATGCCCAGAGGGAATTCTGGGTCGGGGCGATGCAATCCGTCAAAGCCAAGATGGACGCTGGTATTCCCGGTCATTCCTGGTCCCGCACTTTCTTCAAGGACAAGGAGCGCTTGAAGTTCCCCGATGGCGTCCCGGACGAGAAGGAGGGTGCTTTCGCGATAGGCATGCTTGCTATCACAGCATCACTACCCATGTCTTCGCCCATCCAGACATACTACCTCGCTATGTGCCATTATCCCCATTGGCAGAAGCGACTACAAGACGAGATCGATGAGGTTTGCGGCCCCGACCGTCTACCCACATGGGCCGACGCACCGAAGCTTCCGATTCTGAGAGCGATCGGCAAAGAGCTGATCCGCTGGAGACCGCCAGTCCCTACGGGCGTTCCCCACGAAGCTGAGAGAGATGATGAATACGATGGATACTTCATTCCGAAAGGTGCGCTCATACATGCTACAGAGTGGGCACGTCGGAGTGACGAATCTCTGTACCCCAACCCGGAAGAGTTCAATCCAGATCGCTATCTAAACCCAAAATACCCTACCTACAAGGAGCCTTTGACGAAGTACCCCAACGTCATCAACCACCACGTTTTCGGATATGGTCGTCGCAATTGCTTGGGTATGGAGATTGTAGACTACCAGCTGGTCACAATCATGGGCTCTTTGGCTTGGGCATTCAACGTCACCAAGAAGAAGAACAAGCTTGGAATTGGTACGCATTCCGCTTTATGGCACCTCGTTCTTATGCTGACGTAACAACAGACATACCCATCCATACAGAAGATTGGACCGATTTGCTCATTACTCGGCCGGAGGTGTTCGTCTTCGACATCAAACCAAGAGACGCGCACAAAGAGAAGAAGCTTGTGGCCATGTATGAGGAGGCTTTGGTGGAACACCCCGATCTTGCTATCTGAACAGCTCTTCTTCCGAAGACCTTGGTGGTCTCGTACACTACGCCCTGACTGTCCACCATGCCGCTGCGTCTCTTTCCCTACTTTCTATAGCGTATTCCTGTAGTTTCGTTCCTTGCGTACCAAATATAACACTTTGTCTATCCTCCAATATTGGCCCACAATTTTCTCGTGTTAGTTTTCCAGTGAGCGATCGTGCGCGTTGTCCACGAACATGTCTACGCTTTGCGAAGGCCTCTTTCTTCGTCATTCCTACTTAATCTACACATGATTATCACTTCGTTGAAGCATGCGCCATATCCCTCACGTACGGACAATAAGGCGTGGAACAGCGTGTACCCCGCTGATGGCACTAAGAATGGGACAACGTTCATCAAGGTAACCGCGAACACAGCTATGTGTGTTTGATTCGCTACCGACCGACTCTCACCATCGCCTAACGACAAGAGCTTTGGTCTCCCTTGAAATCTCCGGATATCACGTTGCTGACGTTGGCACATTGCACTCATCATGTCTATAGTAGCTCTCGACTAAAAGTGTCGAGTCAACACCTCAACATCCGTATATACTGCGATCTTGATGTTCAAACGCGCCCCAAGCATCTTGTCGTTTTCTACAAGTGCATTGGTTGCGAGTTTGGCGTTGCGCCACCGGCGCGTCACGTCCAAAGCACGCGCCCCCAACCACCACCAGCATGAACAGGACGTCCGCGAAACTTCAATGCGATCGCCATAGATGACTAAAGACATGCGCGACCCCGACGCAGTAGCTAGCAATGAGTTAAGCGATGCTGACAAAAACACCGAGGCCTTGGTTGATGGAAGTGACGCTTGTCCGCTAGCGCCGACGGAACTCCGTGCAAGCACGGAAGCGACCAAGGAGGTCCTTCCCCAACGCACACCAAACACTCCAGCGGGCTCCTCGCATGAAGATGAATTTCGTCCGTCCTCGCACTTCGGGTCTGGGGCCGTTTAGGGAGTCTATGATGCTGCGGCATCGTTGAGACTACTATTTGGCTAATAACCTGCAACGTAAAGCATCAGTACTGCAACCATCAAGCACCGTCGTCTCTCTTTTCTTCATACCATCTTCGATAATTTTGCAAACATGAAGGAAGACGTTCTTAGACGCCCAGACGAGGAGAAGGATCTCCATTCTACCGAAGGGTCGCTCAACACAGGATCGCTGAATACAGGGGAGGAGAAAGAAGAGCTAGCGCATATTCAGTTGACGAAAGGACGATTCGTACTCGTACTTGTAGGCCTGGTCTTGGCTATTTTCCTTGTAAGCAACGTCTTTACCCATCAATACGAGAGACGTAGGCTAACCCATCGCTGCAGGCTTCCCTAGATTTTGTAAGTACAAGCGAGCAACCTCTCTCCTTTGACCCTTTGCAAGCAAGGCCTGACCAAAACCCTAGACCATCATCTCAACAGCCATCCCCAAAATAACCGATGAGTTCAAGAGTCTGCAAGACATCGGCTGGTATGGCTCAGCTTTCTTCATCACCACGGCTGCGACTACGGCTTTCTGGGGGCGACTGTACACTTTCTTTCCGCTGAAGTGGACGTACCTCATCTCCATCTTCTTCTTCGAGCTGGGTAGTGTGATCTGCGGTAAGTCCATATTCGTTTACAGTGACATCAACACCATGCTAATGTATTACGTCGATAGGTGCCGCACCCAGCTCCGTAGCTTTGATCATTGGTCGCGCGATATGCGGTGTTGGTGCAGCTGGTCTGTTCTCTGGCTCGTATACCATCATTGCCGTTTTGGTGCCTTCAGCAGATCGACCCAAGTACAGCGGTCTGATGGGTGCAGCATATGGTCTCGCCAGTGTTGTCGGTCCGTTGATCGGTGGTGCATTTACCAGCCATGTCTCATGGCGCTGGTGGTACGTTAAAGCTAATTGCAAAAGCTTTTGGAGGCTCTCGCTGACAGCTTCACAGCTTCTACATCAACCTTCCCGTAGGCGGTGTATCCTGCCTCTTTATCCTCCTCTTCTTCGCCAACGAACCACCGAAGTCTCGCCCTGACTGGCGTGGCATGCTTCGCACACTCGATATGCCCGGTTTGATCCTCATCATCGGCGCAATCGTCTGCTTCATCCTTGCGCTGCAATGGGGAGGCATCTCGAAGGCTTGGAACAGTGGTGCCGTGATCGGTACCCTAGTGGCCTTCGTCGTGTTGATGGCTCTGTTCGTGGTCGATCAGTGGTGGCTGGGTGAGAACGCCATGGTTCATAGCCTGATCATCCAGAGGAGAACTATCTGGGTCGGATCGATGTTCTCGTTCTTGATCAACTCTGCCTTCTTGGTCACGTTCTACTACTTGCCGATCTACTTCCGTAAGTCCGCTGAACTACAGATCATGCCGCCCATGACTGATGATCAATAGAATCCGTGCAGGGCGTTTCGGCAGCCTCGAGTGGTGTTCGCACCGTACCCTTCATTCTAGCAGTCAGTAAGTAAACCACCAACGTCCATTCTCTCCTCCAAATGCTTACAATGATTGCAGCCATCTGCGTCGTGATCGTTGGCCAGATCATCACAAAGACCGGCTACGCGTACCCGTGGATGATTGGAGGAGCGGCCATCACAACCATCGGTGCCGGTATGATCTACACGTTCGATGTCGATTCACCCGCCAAAGTCTGGATTGGATACCAGATCCTCTGTGGCATCGGTATCGGAGTGAGCTTCCAAGTCCCTGTTATGCTCATCCAGGCGACCACTAAGGAAGTCGATGTGCCTTTGGCCACAGCCACGCTTCTTTGTAAGCCACATTCCATCTCGTTCCTATCCTTGACACACTACTAACCAGTGCTGCAGTCATCCAAACCCTCGGTGGCGCTTTTGGTGTCTCATCCGCTCAGGCTGCCTTCCAGAACACGCTATTAAAGCAGCTGCCCATCACAGCACCAGGTCTTGACCCCCAGATCGTCCTGGATGCCGGTGCTTCCGAGCTCAAGACTCTGATACCAGCGCAGTTCCTCGAGGGAGTGCTTGAGGCCTACGTCGCTGGTTTCCGTGAGTGTCTCATTGTAGGTATCGCGTTTGGTGGTGCCGCGTTCCTTGCTGCTTTCGGCTTTCGCTACACAAACATCAAGAGGACGGCTGCGTTGGAGGCGTAGAAGGAGAGTATGTTCTGGACTGATTTGGAGACAAACTTTCTCTCAATATCAATGATACCTCGAAAAGGTTGTCAGTAGCGTTGTACTAGATTGTAATTAGCGTATCGACGGTTATATGTGCTTGCGCAAGGCCAAATGTACTATGAACACGAACATCCAACGCGTCGACAGTTTCCGTATCAGCTTGCGGGGTGCATATATATGCGAGGTCTCCTGCAGGGCGCAATACCAGTGGTGGCAGGGCTTTATACAGGCCCACCAAAGGCATTCCACTGGCCGAGGGCACCCCAATCATCCGCTGCATCACTGAAGTTTCCATTTCCATTCCCATTCATACCAAGTGACATCCCCATGCCGGGAAATTCCATGCCCCCTTCAAAACCATCCAACCCAGCGCCGGAGAAAATGTCCAGATCCAGGTCAATCCCAAGCTGAGCACTCGCTGGGGTAATCTCTTCCGCCGGTCGAGTGTCCAAGACCGTATCAATGACCTTGGTAAAGATCTTGCTCGCTTTGCGAAATAGGTTGTAGTTGGCTTCGCCATGTCTAGCTCCAGAGTTTTCCATGTGTGCGGCTGAATCAAGATGTGATATGAGCACACTGAGCATGCGAATAATCTCCGCGCGAGATATCTCAGCGGGGAATTGCTGACCTGTTCGGTGTTGTTCGCGCAAAGCTGTAGCAAGTACCGACGCCGCCGGTACACCAAACAGCAGTAGGGCGTTGAGCATGTCGCGTTGAACGTCGTATGAACGATCGCGTATTCTACCCAAGGTGAGTGTATTGCAAAGAAGATCAACAGAGACGCGCAGTAGGGCAGTGTTGAGCGTCAATGGGCTGTAATCGAGCAGCTTTTGAATCATGAACTCATTGTACCAATGCGTGAGGTGTATGATGGACAGCATCAGGCAGATTACCGTGGGAACATCGTCTTCCCAACAGGTCTTCCAGTATCGCATATGTTTGGGTAGCGTCTCCCAGGAAGTGCGTACACGCTCGGATATATCTCTACAGACTTGTTAGTAGAGGTCAAAGTCGGGTCATCATAGCACGCGTACAGTAGCTGAGCTTCCGCGTTCGCGTCTATCTTGACGAGCGAGAATTCCAGGATTTCTTCGCGACTTCGCAGGGATATATGACGTAAACGCTAATGTACGTTAGCTGAGGGAACGAGACCAGCCTAGGTGCAAGACTTACGATCCAAGACGCTCTCAACCATCTGCCTTTGGTATTCCAACCGTCCTCGTCCAACGCTGCGATGGCAGATTCCAAGGTCGCCTGGTCACCAGTGACTTCATTATCGGCCAGGTCCAGTGGAAGCTCGATGTCAGTGTGTCTCTTGCTGATACGTATCGGACGGCCAAGGAAGGTGGATATCGACTTGTCCTGGTTGTATGCTGAACAGAAAACCCTACGGCGTGTTTCCGTCAACCATTTCGGAGCATGAGCGCACTTCTTCTCTTGATGTATACCCAGTGCATATATCTGTGTCGACAGTTCGCCTATCCGTCGCCAGCTGGGTGGGCCTTGGTAGCCGCAGATCATGATTGTAAATAGGTAGTTTTCGTAATACATCCAGATCGTTATGTCGTTGACTGTCGCAAGCATCGTCGTGAGAAAAAGACAGGTCGTACTCGCGCGAAGTAGCTCATCGGCAAAGTGTAACTTCATGTCCTTGTTGGCAGGATCACTGAAGATATCCGGAACGAAGCCAAACGTTAGCGATCGCCCGGCCGTCGCGAGGAGAAAGCCGATAGTTTCGAATCGTAAATTATCACCGGAACACAAGATGTGAAAATCGTGTGCCTCCATTGACTGTGAAACTGTGAAAGGGCGTGCAGTCGTCTCGAGTACTTGGCTTATCAGCAGAGAACTGGGTTTCTTCCGCCGAAGGTCATGCTTGTCAACAACAGCTTCTAACGCATTCACGGCGTCGACCTGAACCTGGGCAGGTATCACACCTGCTTCATTTGTTGCATTATACCATAGAACGAGCTCTTTGATAGCGTTGTAATGGCGAAGAGTGCTCAAAACATCACAAGCCATCTGGTATCGCATGGACTTGGACAGGGTGTGCTGGTGTGTAAGTTCGCGATCTGATCGTTCTGATGCAACAGACTCCTCGCGTTCACGCATCTGACCGGGTTCTTCATCCTGAGGAAGAAGTACGGCGTATGATCCAGGCCCGAGGAACCCAGGGTGATATACATCAGCAGCAACGGCATCCGCAAGTTTGTCACCATGCGACGGAGACGCTGGGGCAAAAGCGGCAACAGCATCCGAAGTCTGCTTCGAGGGTCGTCTATTCGAGTCAGAATGCTCATGTGAATGTAGTTCCGGATGTATGCATACTTTCTTTTAGGAGGACGGGCTTCACCTGTTCCTGACTCATCGGCACTCTGACGCTGTCTGGTGAGAGGTGCTGGGTGGTAGAAGCAGCGGTCTTCAATACCACGTTGACGACATCGATCACACTTCGGATGGCCATGATCACACTTGGTTTTGTTCAGCCTGCATGGTTCGCAGGATGCTGGCTTGCCATTGCGCCTACTGCTGCCGGCGTCCCTGTTGGTTGGTTAGCAGATGGATAGTTGTAGACTCAACGCGTGAATTACATGTCGATAATTGCACCAGTGTGTGCACGGAAGGATCATCAAATCATGTGTGTGTGACATAATCTCGGAAACACGCGTCGGTGAGTTCGTCATGTCCGTGGATGGGCGCCGGCGAGATTGTGACGCGGGTTGCCTAAGCGCGAGGTGTCTTATCGATAAGCGACGCGTGCAGCCCGTGACGCCTTCTCCTCCTCCCGAGGTGCTTCACTGCCACCACGCAATCCATCGCTACGCGCCGGCACACATGCATGATCATGTCAGCCAAATCTCAGCCTCCGCCTGGTCGAAAGGGGCAATGCCATCCTGATGGGCTACCCCCCTGCGATGCGCAGCCTCATGGACAGCCTGCCAGCCTCCATGTGGAAAACCTTCCCTTTTCGCATTCAGCGATCTATTGCCTTCACTCTGCCATAGTAATTGAGGCTTACGGGTTGCCCAATATACACAATGGGCATGTTTTTAGGGCCTCCTCCACCTGATCCCCTCCGAATACGACTCGCGCACGCCTTGGGCTTCCCCAATTACCCCAACGATGACACCGTCGAACCGTACATCAACTACCTTCTGAACCAGCACGATGCTCGTGGTACTCCAGAATACGAAGATCTCCTCATAACCATAGTACAATACTTCCATGGCCCACAGCCCCTTGGGTCAATGAAGAGGAGCATTGAAGGGCTGCTACACTCGCTATCCCACCACCCGAACACACAATGGCACGAAGAGGACACTCTGGTGCGCGCTATTGGCAGCTGCACACTTTTACTGAGCTCGTTCACTGATCTACCTACGGTAGCCGGTAAGCTCCGACTGGTGACGGCAAGCTACAATCTGCGGATGCACGGAAGCCTGCTGGGTGGCCAGCCATACTTCGAGAGCTTGGCAGAATTGGTAGCGGGCAGCGGCTTGCTACCAGCGCCTGTTGCATTCGCCTCTGTGGTGACTATGGCAGATTTAGAGTCCTTGGAGTCGCTCTTTGTTGACGCCACCCACCTTAACGCGTACAGGTTGACTGTGTTCGGAGCAGTGGAAATCACCTGGACTCACAACATCTCCCGGCACCTTCTGCTATCGAACCGCAACGGACGTCGCATACTTGAGATCTTCGCGCTACCATGCGCCTTAGATGCCGTTCCTCTTAGGATGGTCGGTGTCGGTAATGAGCTGGCGCAAGAGGTCATGGAGTCATACAGCTTGCTATTCAACGCCTGGCCCTCATTGGGTCCTCATGCTAAGCTTGGCTTATGGGTACGTGTTTCTTTGCGAACTGCATACGGAGCATACACTGACTTGGTATACCTATATACAGCGGCGATGTTGCCCATGTCAGCCATGTTCTGCTCGACGATACCGCAATCGCGCGATCAGCGATTACCAAGCCTTCAGTCGACTTCAACGTAGCAGCGAATACGACCCTAAGCTTCCTCACCTCATGAGCGCCATAAATCAGCAGCCGATCGCATGGACACCTGGCATATTCCCTCATCTCTGGTCTCGAATCATGATCCTAGATGAGCATCTGCAGCAGGCGAAGCCATGGAGCATTTGGGTCTTGTTCCGTAACCGTAACGATACCTTGCAATTCTGGACGTTCTTGTAAAATACTCAACACTGTTGCACCTCATAAAACTGACAGCATGCAGGTTCGCTACGATCGTGGTCTTCATGACCGCTGTTCAGGTTTTGCTTGGCGTCGCACAAGTCGTGGGGTCGTTCCGCTGATGAACGACATCGGAAGCATTCAGCCTCGTATCACGGGCGGCTAGCCCACACCCGCAGGTATTGCGAAGATCCATGGTGCGCGTTCGCTTATGCGCCTCTCTGACTGGTCGCGATGGAGAACACCATGATTGTGCAGCTGGCTTGTCTCCAGCCTTTGATGCTGTTGCGAAAACCGGATCTGACGCACTGTGTTCTAAAGGTATTTCTTAACATGGACGCAGCTTACTTGCTACGATGCCTTCCTCCCGGATCCTTTACCGCCTATAACTTGTGCCGTATCTTACAGTCACACGAGCAACATGCAGCTATCGCCTGAAGCCCAGGGCTATCGTCAGCACATACTCAACTACGCTGCACGCTCCTATACTCGCACACTTTTCTTTGGTTATCATTATAGATTTCTCGCGGAGCTGCTCCGAGCTGACGAGGCACATCTACCCAAGCAATACAATGACCTTGAGACGTATCATCTTGGACATTTGTCTGTGTATGGACCGCCTTGTCATGGCTCCGAGCGGTATCAACTTCACAATTACAAATATTCTCAATTACAGGACCTTGTCGCAGCCCCGCCTCCAAGCAAGGGGCAAGGACAGGTCCTTTTCCTCAATGGACATCTTCCAGGGTCTTGGATATGTGAAGTGGGCGCGAAGTACAATATCGCTCCCGAGTTCTTTCGGCAGCACATCCACCTTTGGCGCTCGACTGACGGGCCTGTTCTTCACGCAATCACGAGAACCCCATACGCCACTTCGAACAAAGGGCTCCTACTGCGTCTCAACACCCAGGGAAACTTTGGGAAGAACAAGCTGCCTGTAAATTCATTCAGTAGCATGATCTTGCAAGCGCGACGAAAGCTTCTACCCGACGACGTTGAGTGGATGCCCAGACGTTTGGCCGCAGCTCCCGGCTGCTCATATATAAGAGGGCACGCATATCTTAGCAATCTACAATTCGTCATCGAACAGGATGTGTCCATCACCATTGAGTCAAATGGGGACGGTTGGACTGGTGAGCGGGCTGTCAAGCCGTTGATCTCGTTTCATCACCGCTTACATGTGTATCAGCAATCTTGTGGACAGACGTGGGAAGCAGAGACCTCTCCCATAGCCGCACTTACCATCATTTCGTCGAGTATATGGCGGTCAAGACAGAGACAGGACGCCGAGACATCCGCTTGCTACCTGTGCATTTACTGGGACAGGAGTCGGCGATCAAACATCCATGGCCGCTGCCCTTCCCCGATCTCGATATCACGCAAGACACCGATGGCTCGCTCTTCCAGACAGCGTCTCATCTGCCATCAGAGCTCCACGTAATGCTTGATGATCACGAAATCGCAGGGCAAGATCCGCTATACGCACTCGCACCTATACTCTTGTTCGCAGCTGCCTCAGAGATACAGCTACTCTCGACACTCCAAAAACGGTACGACATAATCGCATCGACAAAATGGGATCGGAAGCACTCGACCGAGCATTTGGAACAGCTCATAATGCACAAACACCTCCTGGATGACCACGCCAGCCGACACGAGGAGGTTCTACGATTCATCAGCTCGCCAAAACTAGCTCGATGGGCGGTCAACCTCACACAAGACCAGAGCGATGTAGCGCAGGAAGCCAAAGATGCAGTCAAGGCCGACTACGAGTTCCTCCGATCGCGATGCCGCCAGCTGTCGCTACACTACCAGGAAGCGATATCGATCCTGGTCAGCGCTACTTCTCTCGCGGAGTCGCAGAAACAGATAACACTTGCTACGCAGGTCACGAAGCTCACTATACTTGCGACCATCTTTCTTCCACTTTCGTACTGCACTTCGATATTCGGCATGAACTTTGTGGAGTTGGAGCAGTTGAATATATGGATCTGGGTAGTTGTCACAGTTTCGGTTGGGCTTGCAACTTTCGCTGTTTATCAGTGGGATGAGAGGCAAATACTGTGGGATTTCTGGGCTACGGTGAAGGCTAGGTTTCGTTTCGTACGCTGGCGACGCAATACTCCGGCCACAGTATGAGAGCAATAACGCAAGGTTGCTATCAAACTATGTCGTACGTCTTCAGCTCAGCAGGAACTTCAAATGCACCGTAAAATGCCACCCTTCCAAGCTGTAACCTTCGTTCTAGAGCATGGCCTTCCATGTCGAAATGTTGCACATGACCACTACGCTGCACAAAGCTCTGGAAGCCGACAATGCCTGGGCCTACGGTACCGTCTTCCCTCACCCCTTCAGCGTAAAGCGCGGTACCACTATGACCATTTGGCGGATCAAAGTCGGGATGCACACGATATAAGAGTGCGCGCGATACGAGGTCTTTCCATGTTGCTGCGTCGTGCTCTTTGAGATTCTTTGAACCACCCGCTGCAGCCCTCTGGTTTAGGAATATGCCCTCGCCTACAACGAGAATATCTGACGGACGGCTGCCTTTGATGCTCTTCGCTGACCGTGTGCCTTGAAAGTCGGCCAGGAAATTGACGGTGGACGTCTGCTGGCGGAGTGCCGTCCAAGAATCTTGCCGGAGCCACCCAAGTTCACGTATCGGAGACATGATGTTTTTCAGCACAGTGCTAGCGCTAACGCTTTTTGTGGGTTCGATGAGCGTAACATCATGATAGAATCCTATTGGATACATTTCCGCTTTATTGTCAAAGGTTTTGTGAATCGTTCCAACCTGGCTCATCTTTAGTATCAAGCTCTATGTACAAATGCGTTGTGGTGCTTATTGGTGAAAACGTGTATGAATCGCACGAACCTTTTCACTGCCAGCCCAGATCTCGACGTGATCATTCCAGTTCCCATTCAGTTTCTGCACATGGCTGTCATGCTTCCGACCGAGTATAGCGTCGCGATGCGATCTCGCCAGGATGGCTTCAGTGATGACGTGTGTAGACATTACTACACGCGGGGAACCGGCTTCTGCTACCATGAGGCCGATCCGTCCAGCAAACCGTTCTCTTCGATGATTAGACAAGGGACGAGCCTCTATAAAATCGTTGAGCCTGAGTGAGAAGCTTCCAGGGGAGAACTGAGTTGATGGACGGGCTGTCCCGGACATCTCTGCGACAAGTGAAGATCCGAGCGATGTACTGTGCGGCATAGTCCTGGTTGTTTCCGTACTCGATGGCAGCATAGTTGGCTCGAGGATCTGTTCGATGTAACAGACCTTGAGGCCACCATATGTATGCGGAAGGTGTGATGATGCCCAGGTCGTGTCAAAGTCTTTTGGCACAATGACCTGGAGTAGACCGTTTATCAGAACATAGAACCCAACACTACCCTCATACGTCAGGAAGATGTCTTTGACTAGGTCCAGAGACATTTTGGCTCGACAGTCAATTGGTGTCACACGTCGCGGATCTGGTGGTGGTGTCACTCCGCTGGTGGGAGGCCAATGATACTCCACTGGAATTACCACGGGATCTTGGGCGATAGTAAGAGGATAGTTCTTTGGCTTGGTTAATTCCAGAGGAGTACAGGTCCAACACCCATGCTGTCCGCCATACATGGCAAGTATGACGTGGAACTCAACATCCCACCGCCAGTCAGCTGGAAGGCAGGTTTGAACATCCGTCCAGCAATGCAGTGATGCTGTTTCTGTTGCCATATAGTGAGGCGACTCGTGATTTTCCGAGCTAGAATCTGAAGATGTAAGATCTTCGTTGTACTTGTCGTGAACTTTTTGTGTAGAGGTAGGTTCGTAGGAAACCGTCCAGTCGTTACCGGTTTCACCGTTACCCGCATTGACTTCGTCTGTACCTTCAGCGAGGCTCATCTTTGAGCGACCATCGTAAGGCGGATCTTCAACTCCCATGATGCTGTCAGCACCACTTCGTAAAGGGGGATCGGTTGCGCTATTTGCGTTACGCCAATCAGAGGTCGCGGGTGCGCTGTTTACGTTACGCCATCTGCAGGTGGCGCTGTCAAAGATCAATCTTGTCCCATCCCACCATATCAACAACCACTCGTTTTGCGGACGAAGAAATTCATATCGATAGTATTGGCTAGATCTTTCCCACCATCGCCAGGACGTGTAATCCTCCATCTTTCTTCAGCGTTTGGGTTACCTGGTCCTTTGCCGTTCTGTTCTTTGTAACACCCTCTACACGTCATTAGTCTCTCGAGCTGCTCTGTACCGAAAGTCACAATAATTTCGCTTATACTGGTCAAACGAGGCTGAAGACCGAATGTGCGCAACGCCAAACGATGAGCTAGTTGATGCTTGAACTCTCTCCTACGGAAAAGGACTAATGAACTTACAATCGAAAGTCGAATCGCAGTCATCGAGACGTTGATGAATTAGAAGCACGATGGAGGGGTAAACACATGGCGGATGACAGCAAGCGAAGGTTCTACCCGCAGCCCGATCTGCCGCTACGTCAGTGCGCGAATGCAGTCAGCATTCGAGTGACGCCTTCCAATGAATATTGTCGCGAAGACGATGCGAACAATCGCAACTCGATCTTCAGTTATGAGAAGCTAGTTCAGTCCATTACTAGGTTGTTCCGTCGGATATCGAAGTCAAGGCTGCTCGTGCCGTTCACACCTGCACGTCTACGTTCACAACGCCATCAGCGTAAGGAAACGTAGTGACCCTACTACGTCTGCTCACTGGTAGTCCCCGGTTGCCGTGCCGAGACCAACCTCATTCAGCAGGAACATCTCGGCTCGGCGCCTAAGCAGGTCCTCTTGATTGATGTCTTCATCGACTGTATGCTTTCGAACGGGTATATCGAGTCTGTCGGAAGGTTATCGAACGCGATTCGGATCGGGTCGACCGTCGTTACGGCGAGTTCGTCTTCTGTATCGGCTCGGAGCCAGACTGGGACTATGCGCAATGTCTCATTTTCATTGGCTTCATCTGCAGTCCGCACTCCAATGTGTCTCTTTGACGGGTGCTACACTGCCACTAACTCAGAACGCGGAGCGTGACTCTAACAAGGGATCTTCTCTAATGTTGGCTGACTGTGGCGCGTCGATACGCAGGGACCGCGACTTGTTCCCATATCGGAGGTGTGATAAGACTGTATGTAGGTTGTGAAGGATATTGATCGTCTTTGCGTCGGACAATACGGACGGGGTCGCGGTCGCGGTCGTGTCGAGTCGTGTCGTGTCAGCTGTGGTAGACAGGCGGATGCTCGGGCAGCGACTCCTTTTCAGCCAAAGAGGGCTTCTCCAAACACTTTCGCTCCCTATTTGATGAACGCTTTCTACGTCTGAAGGCTCCAGCTTCTTACAACGCAATATGTCGAGGGTGCAGTTGCGGAAGGAGCTATCGTTAGCATCCCTAGCAATGGCGATGACATCTAGTGGGCCGACTGTCCGCGGCCTGTGCGCCTTGAGCTACGCCCGCCTCGGGCAGATCCCACGACACCACCTACAGTGCGTACATCATGCCTATAATGTCTTGCGATGGACGACGTTCGTCGCGGTAAATGCACACTGTGCTGCAACGCTGCAGTTGACGGCAAAACTGGTAGTTGTCTGTGCACGCGCACTGCTTGTGCGAAGCAAACACTCGTTGCGCGACCATCGCCATCATTACCACGATCATGAGATCTAGGATTCCTATATCATCCGTCCATCAAACATTATACCAGCTAACAGTGCGGGTTTCACCTGTGGTGGTAGGTAGATGCGCCCGGTTCACGTCTTCATGTTGCAGGCGCGCGTTTCTGTCGTCAAATGCTAGCCAGCGGAAGACAAACCACCGCGAGTTGTTTGAGTTTACTTCTGGTAGATGGATGTATACCACCTCACATGCTTTCACCCACTCAACTGCTGGCTGACATGAACATGTAGTGTCAACGAGCCTTTGCGCATGGCTGAACGCCGCTTAGTTTTCGACGTGTCTGAACTCAAGAAGGTAGCTGCGAAAGCACTGAACAGACCAGCTACGGACGTGATAGCGGTACAAAAGATCGCCGAAGGCGGTTTTAATCGCATTCTCGAAGTAACAATGAACGATGACTCGTCGGTACTTGCCCGTCTTCCATACCCAGCAACCTTACCACGACGCCTGGCAGTAGCGAGTGAAGTCGCAACGCTGGACTTCCTCCGCACTAACGGAATACCTGTACCTCGCGTTCTGGACTACTCGACTGGCGAAAACTCTGTCGGTGTAGAATATATGCTGATGGAAAGATCACCGGGAAAGCCTCTCAGTGATATCTGGTTCAGCTTAGCCGAAGAGGAAAGATGCCAGATTTTGCACAAAATAGTTTTGTTGGAAACTAAGCTCTTCGCTATCAAACTGCCAGCCAATGGTAGCATCTACTATACTCGCGATCTGCCTCCAAACAGCCCTCGAATAGACCTGCCGGGATCCAATAGCGGTTTATGCGTGGGACCATACGTGTCCACGCGATGGTGGTATCGAGAACGAGGAGATCTAGAGATTGACCGAGGTCCTCGTAAGTTCTTGCAACTCATATTTGGAAACCAGCTGAGTCTGGTTCACGTAGATATCGATCCTCAGCTCGTTCTTCGAAGTCATGCCGAGAAGGAGTTGGCGTGGATCCGCAAATACGGAGGGCCACGATACCCATTTTATCGCGAATACGCTGAGTCGTTTGGATACAAGAAGCAAGACCCTCAAGACCACGTCCAGTCGCTAGAAGACTACATGCGCCTCGTACCTCACCTCGTACCTAAAGACGCGACAGTGCATTCGCCCACCCTCCGGCATCCAGATCTCTCTCCTAATAACATCCTTGTATCTGACGATCTTCAAATCACCGGCTTCATCGACTGGCAGCACTCCGAAGTTCTCCCTGCTTTCCTCGCCGCGGACATACCAGCGGCATTTGCAAACTACGCAGACGAAGAGTCTCGAAGCTTTACGGAGCCCAAACTACCGGAAAATCTTTCTTCTATGGCTGGAAATGAGCGTGCTGAGGCAGAAGAACTGTATCGCCGACGACACATACATTTCTGGTACCTTGGCCTCACTCAAATGCTGAACGAGCCTCATTGGCAGGCTTGTACACACGACGGAACTTTCATGACACGTCAGATATTTCACGATGCCGGCGCTCCATGGGAAGGTGACAATGCTCATCTCCAGATCGGTATCGCGGATGTTGTGGAAAAATGGCCAGTATTTGCATCTGCCGCCGGAGACGGCACGGTGATGCCATGCCCCATTGTCATATCCAAGCAAGAGATGCAGAGAAGAGCAGATATGCGGAAGTCACTGCACGAAGGCAACATGTTTAGGGAAGAATTATGCGAGGAATTGGGTATATCCCATAGCGGATATACATCGCACGAAGGCTTTGACTTCGCGAAGGAAAAAGCAAGCAAGGCAAAGGAATGCATAGTGGACGACCTGAAGGACGACCCGGAGGAATTAGAGAGGGCCTTACTTACTTGGCCTTTTGATGACTATGACGAGAATGAATAAGGCCATTGTTCAATCATTCTCCATGTATACTATTAGCACATGAGCGTCACAACGTGATGACGTTAATATTACTCCACTCATGTGATCGTACGACATCCTCGAGAGACGCTCGCACAAGACACGTTTGTGACATCGCAAGTTTTGTTGCACGCGCTGTATCTGACAAGCGCGCCCGTACATGTGTGGTTGAGGTTGGAGATAGCCGTGCCGTGCAACTCGATTGCGGGACCACCTGGCACATCGTCGCGTACAAAACAGTCGCGCAAGGCTTGCGCGTGCGCTACATCTCTGCATGTGAGAATCAAGTCCTCATGAGTTCCGTCGTTCACACCTGCCTGAGTATGTTCAGCGCACAGGCTTCGGATACTGCCTGGTCTGTCAGCCATCTTTTTTGTATACGTCATCACTCCGGATCTCAGGCCACCATCATCAAGATCGCGCTTCAGGGGCACAGCCTCATCACCAAACTTCCAGTCCATCCGTCACAGCGGTCGCGCAATTCGATATAGTAGCCTACATCAGCTGCGGTACACAGCCAAGGCGGAAAGACAGGCGTTACGCGCCAGGAACCGATTTTGGGAACGCGTGGGACGCACACGGCAAATCTCTCACCACCCAGACCGCGCCCTCGCCTGCACCGAACCACCCCACATCAGCCTTCAACATCATGTGCATCGGGAAGCTTCTGCCTGCTGCATCTCGCGGGCGGTGCTTGGTGCCTGTTCGACTACTGGCTTGGACATGCGGTTGATGATGCGCTCTAGACACCTGATTGGCCAGTCCAGCCGTAAGAAAAGAAGAAGCTGAGGCTGAGACGCAGTCAACCATTGTCCAAATGTGGGCTACGGCAGGCTCGCTCCTGATGCGTTCGCGGGACTTTGAGTCCTTCATAGGCTCAGCTTGCGTCTATACGGATGATGCCTTATAACAAGGCTTCGCACCGTTTACCCGCTCATCACGACTGCATCTTGTTCGATAAGACACCATCTGAATAATTCATCAAAGCACCTTTCCGGAAAACACGACTGGAGATCATCAAATACAGTACCGGTGGAAAGATCAACCAACTGGCTGGCAAAATGGCATACGCCGAGCGCCTTCCATTGTTGGACGAGAAGGTCGCACATGCCCATCAACTGCAGAGGGAGGATGAGACTTTCCAAACCTCGACGAAATCAGCGAAGCGGAGTCTAAGCGACGTCCTACGCCATGTTGTTTTACTACCTCTTCTCTGCGGCTTCGCCGTGTACGGATCCTATACCTTTTGCAGACAGCATCTTATCAGGGACACCATGTTGTCAGTGCCAGCACAGGAAAGACCCATTTCCTTCAACTACACATGTCTACCGGGCGAGGCTTGTTGGCCTACCATGAACGAATGGAACGCTTTCAATCAGAGCATCAACGGCAACCTCCGACTGACGGTACCTTGGGCCGCCCCGTGCTACTCAGATCCGTCGAGCACGCAATGTCAAGAGGTCGCAAAGAACTACGGTGATGGCGTCTCACGCACGAGTCACTACGGGTCGACGGAGTTCCTTGACTGGGAGAAGTGCGACACGTCGCAATGTGCACTTAACTCTTTCAATACCTCAGAACCTGTTTCCGGTACCTGCTCGCTTGGCAGACTCTCCTCATACCATGTTAAAGCTGAGACTGGGGATGAAATCAGCAAGAGCTTGCACTTTGTGCGCAAGCATGGAATCCGCGTTTCGATTAAGAATACCGGACATGATTACTACGGGCGATCAACCGCGCCAAACTCTTTGGCGATCTGGACCCACAACATGAAGGACACGCAATATCACGAGACATTCCGACCCAAAGGCTGCAAGACTCGCTATGAGAACATTGGAGAGATTGGCGCTGGCGTCCAGGCCCAGGAAGCGTGGGAGGCCTTTGAACCTCATGGCATGCATGTCACCGTTGGAGCTGTCGCCTCTGTCGGCATCGCTGGTGGATATGGCCAGGGCGGCGGCCATGGACCACTCGGTCCCAAATACGGTTTGATGGTCGACCAAGCTGTCGAGTTCGACGTTGTCACCGCCGATGGAGAACAGCGCACCATTAATGAATGCAGCGACCCGGATCTTTTCTGGGCAATGCGCGGAGGCGGAGGCGGAACTTACGCTGTGCTCACATCGTACAAGTTCCAGCTTCATCCGGCCGATCCTATCAACGTATATAGCTTCCAAGCTCACTTTCCCGCCCCAAAGAACATCACAGAGTCGAAGGTACATCGCGACATCATCACCGGGCTTGCCGCGAACCAAACCCTATTTGCCAAGTATGGAATCGCCGGATACAATTTTGTACTCTCAGATCATGTCGTGTTCTTGCAGGTCATGCCCTCCAATGACACGGAAGCGATCAAAGACATCACGTCTCAATGGCACGACTTCTTGACGAACTACCCCGGTCTCAGCATCACCGAGAACGATTATCACTCTTTCAAGAAGTTCTCGCAGTGGCATGAGTTCACGGAAAGACCCGAGATATCTCGCAATGGACCCGTGGGTCTGGGCTTCAATGGCGCAGGGCGCTTCATCCCCAGGAGTCTCTTTAGCTCATCCCATAATATCGATCGACTCGTGACCGCGATAGTCACCGCCATGCAATTTTCACGTGCCAATCATGGCAGTGGGGGCGCTCAGTTCTACGCTACTGGACCAGACAACAACCCTGACAACGGTAAGACCAGCGTCAATCCCATCTGGCGAGACTCGCTATGGGAAATAGTCATGGGCCAATTTTGGACGACTTCTACCCCGCCAGCGGCTCGCTCGCAAATCCAAAAGACTGTCTCTGCTACGATGGACATCTTGAAAGCCGTCACACCGGATGGTGGGTGCTACTCGAACGAAGGTGATTGGACCGAGGAGAACTGGCAACAAACGTTCTTTGGGGTGCACTACGACAGATTACTCGCTGTGAAGAGGCGCTACGATCCAACAAATCTGTTCAACTGTTGGAAGTGTGTGGGTTGGACGGGATATGATGAGTGAGTATCATGGTCTAGATCTTGCAAGCAAGAGCTAACTGCAACAGCCCAATGTACTCCTGCTATGCGCAAACTCGACAGGAGCCCAGGCCTTCCGTGCCTCTTGGACCTGTTGGATGAGCGAATCACGTTATTCAGCGACTACCTTCATGTTTAGCAGTCAACGTCGCGCAGCCATGGCCGTCACTTTTGTCTTGCCCTGGAACTTTTCGGTGTCTTTCTTTTCACAATCCCCTTGCTAGAACCATCATTGTTCTTGTTTGCATCGCAAAGCAATTTACACTATTCACATTCAGGCAAACTCCTGCCTTAATCTCTCATGTCATTTTCGGGGCCAACATGCACGTGCGGTGCGCCGACGCCGGTGCGTCGCCTACCGCCGCAACGCGAGTACAACCTGGTGAGCTTCACCGGCTTGTGAAGGAGCAACGTGTGGGGGCCGTGTGTGTTGCGTCTCCGTTTGTGCTCATCTAAGGCCTTGCCATTGGCAGGCCTCTGATTGGCCGGCCCCCATTTATTCACCGGCCGTCCAACGGGGCCAACGCGCCCCAACGTGGCATATAATTGTAATCCACGCTCACTTGCGCTTTCAGACCCCCGGGTGACGCAGGATCATAACAATAATAACAACAGTTCCCCCAGCGACTTTTACTCCCACGCTCCTTTACCTGCTCCAACCCACATCACGCGACACTCAACTGCCTCACTATACTCACTCGAACCCGTGGCTACTTACGCAACTAGGTCCAAAATTGGAGTCAAGATCACTCAGGATGCATGTCAACGCCCTCATTGCCATGACGATGCCGCTTCTCGCCGCGGGCGCGCACCTCGGCTTTCGACACAGTCACAACCATGAGAAGGTCAACCCTCGTGCTATGCACACCAACGTCGTCATCGTGACTGAGACGATCTTCATGACCGTCACGCTTGATTCAACCTCAAGCTCTGCTTCCGCCGGTTGTTCCGTCATCACTACCTCCACTGCGCTGCCAGAGCCGTCTGTCACCGTCGAGGTCCCGCAGAAGGGCGTCCCTGAAGTTGCGTCTACATCTACGTCTACTTCCACGTCCTCTCTTCCTCCTTCTGCTGCTCCTTCGTCTTACCCAGGTGGAATGTACGCTTCGCTCGACTCTGTCCCAAACGAGGCCATCATACTCAACTCCTGCGACTATGACGTCTATGTCTCGTCCATCGGCGATGACAAACAATGCGACAACAGTCCCGGGAGCGACTGCGTGACTGTATCCGCCAATAGCACTTATTCTGAACCCATTCGCACCTGTAACGGGTCTGGCATTTCACTCAAGGTCGCAAAATCCACGAGCATGGATAATCCGATGCAATTCGAATATACCGTCTGGGACGACAAGATCCAGGTGTCTTACGACATCTCATACCTCGACTGCATGACCAAAGACGGGACCAACTTTGACAATTGCGCCGGCCACGAGAAAGGCATTCAAGCCGCGGCCAAGGATGGCCCATCCTTCGAGTGCGCCGCTAACGAGCCTTGCGCTGCGGAAGCTTACGTCGTGCCTGAGTTTGGGTACCTTCCCGATGCCCCAGTCGGCCGCGCTACTGTCGATAAAGGCGTCGCGTTCGAGATCTGCGCCGGAAACAGATCATGAGCGACGTCGTTACGAGGAAAGAGGTTTTCGTACCGAGATCACGATAACGAGATCATGACCTGACTATTTCTTTCCCGTGTCGACCCAACGAAGGGATCCGGCTATCTCTTTCACGAATATGATGGAGCAAGAGAGTGTGTGTTGTCTGACTATAACGATATCTTCCAAACACTTTCTAACAATCTACGGCAGGCCCTGGATGACTTTTCGGGGTAGACAACTACATGGCCTCATGTTTCTTCTCTTCTTTGGTTTTCTATTCATTGTATACTCTTGACTTCAAGGCTTTTTTCATCTCCTTCTTCTTCGAACAAGGGCATACACGAGTGGCGTTGGAGGATTTTGGGTTATGATGCTGGCGCATGGAC